CATTTCGGCACCACCCTCACACGCTTCGTGGCCCATGCAGGGAGTTCCACCGAAGGCCCAGTGACAGGGTTCCGGGCAATGCTCCCACACCCATTTCGGCACACCCCTTCACACGCTTCATGGCCCCATAGGGAGCTCCACCAAGGCCCAGGGCAGGGTTCGCATCTGCCCCCCCACACCCATTTCGCACACACTTCAAACGCTTCGTGGCCACATAGGCAGCTCCACCGAAGGCCCCAGTGGCTGCGTTCGCATGCCTCCCCACCACCCATTTCGGCACACCCCTTCACACGCTTCGTGGCCCCATAGGGAGCTCCACCGAAGGCCCCAGTGGCTGCGTTCGCATGCCTCCCCACCACCCATTTCGGCACACCCCTCACACGCTTCGTGGCCCCATAGGGAGCTCCACCGAAGGCCCCAGTGGCAGGGTTCGCATGCCTCCCCACCACCCATCTCGGCACACCCCTCACACGTTTCGTGGCCCCATAGGGAGCTCCACCGAAGGCCCCAGTGGCAGGGTTCGCATTCCTCCCCACCACCCATTTCGGCACACCCCTCACACGTTTCGTGGCCCCATAGGGAGCTCCACCGAAGGCCCCAGTGGCAGGGTCCGCATGCCTTCCCACCACCCATTTCGGCACACCCCTCACACGTTTCGGGCCCCCAAGGGAGCTCCACCAAGGCCTTCAGTGGCAGGGTTCGCATGCCTCCCCACCACCCATCTCGGCACACCCCTCACACGCTTCGTGGCCCCATAGGGAGCTCCACCGAAGGCCCCAGTGGCAGGGTTCGCATGCCTCCCCACCACCCATCTCGGCACACTCCTCACACGTTTCGTGGCCCCATAGGGAGCTCCACCGAAGGCCCCAGTGGCAGGGTTCGCATGCCTCCCCACCACCCATGTCGGCACACCCCTCACACGTTTCGTGGCCCCATAGGGAGCTCCACCGAAGGCCCCAGTGGCAGGGTCCGCATGCCTCCCCACCACCCATTTCGGCACACCCCTCACACGTTTCGTGGCCCCATAGGGAGCTCCACCGAAGGCCCCAGTGGCAGGGTCCGCATGCCTCCCCACCACCCATATCGGCACACCCCTCACACGTTTCGTGGCCCCATAGGGAGCTCCACCGAAGGCCCCAGTGGCTGCGTTCGCATGCCTCCCACCACCCATGTCGGCACACCCCTCACACGTTTCGTGGCCCGTAGGGAGCTCCACCGAAGGCCCCAGTGGCTGCGTTCGCATGCCTCCCCACCACCCATTTCGGCACACCCCTCACACGTTTCGTGGCCCAATAGGGAGCTTCCACCGAAGGCCCCAGGGGCATGCCTCCCACCACCCATCTCGGCTCGTTTCGTGGGCCCCATTAGGGAGCTCACCGATGGCAGGGTTCGCATTTCCCCACCACCAGTCGGACGCTTCGTGGCCATAGGGAGCTCCACCGAAGGCCCCAGTGGCAGGGTTCGCATGCCTCCCCACCACCCACACCTCATTCGTCGAGCACACCCCTCACACGTTTCGTGGCCCCATAGGGAGCTCCACCGAAGGCCCCAGTGGCAGGGTTCGCATGCCTCCCCACCACCCATTTCGGCACACCCCTCACACGTTTCGTGGCCCCATAGGGAGCTCCACCGAAGGCCCCAGTGGCAGGGTTCGCATGCCTCCCCACCACCCATCTCGGCACACCCCTCACACGTTTCGTGGCCCCATAGGGAGCTCCACCGAAGGCCCCAGTGGCAGGGTTCGCATGCCTCCCCACCACCCATTTCGGCACACCCCTCACACGTTTCGTGGCCCCATAGGGAGCTCCACCGAAGGCCCCAGTGGCAGGGTTCGCATGCCTCCCCACCACCCATTTCGGCACTCCCCAACACCCATTTCGGCACACCCCTCACACGTTTCGTGGCCCCATAGGGATCTCCACCGAAGGTCGGGGGGAGCTTGACACTGGTATCCTTGCGGTACTCGCAGCTGCATATGGTTGGGTCCTTCGCCAGGCTAATTTTGGGGGGGTCGGCGGGTCGAGAGCGGGCCTCTTCCGGTTAAGAGCTAGGCAGGGCGCGCAGAGCACTAATTGGGAAGACAGGGCGCGGGCGGGCGGGGCCTCAGCCCGTGGCGTCGGCCACGCCTCGCCCTGGAGGAAGGGGGGGGGTCTTGGGAGTTCGGGGGAAAGCCGCACACGGCTCCGGAGCGCTCTGGACCGACCGCGGCGTCGCACGCGCCTCGCCCTGAAGGAAGGGGGGGTCCTGAGCGAAGCGGGCCCCACAGCCCTCCGCGAGGTGCAGAGCCGCAAGCTTCTGTCAACGAGCGCGTTCCACCACTCGCAGAGTGCCTACTCGCAAACGTCCGAAGAATCAGACGTCTGCTTCGATGCAATCTATCGTGTATCCCCTTTCTGCGGATCCGGGCCATTTGCGAGCAGTTACGCTGCGAGTCGTGGAGCGCGCTCGTTCTGGGCCCCGGCGGGCGCGCGCTCGGCCCCCCTCCCCCCCGCCGAGTCACAGCACCGCGGGCTGCACGGATCCAGCTCCCGCCGGGCCCCTTGTTGTGCCAGCTGGTGC